TACCTCTTTGAAGATTAATATTTTTACTTGCTGCTAACTCTTCTGGCTTGGGAATTCACTCTACTCTGCTTCTGTGCCATTCGCTTGGAAATGGATAACAAGTTGAGAGTATGCAAGGAATCAGGACTAGATGGTGATTAAGCGTGGTCATGCAAGATATGGCCCTGCCACTCGAAGTATATCGCCATGTTGTCTGATGTGTGTGTTTTACCACTGCAGTTCGCTTTCATCTGCCTGATAGCTGACTACGATTCATCACATTTAAATCATAAATCAAAATTTTAAATATTCTCAGATTCTGAATATATTTTAAATATTATTTATCGACGGCGATGTCGAACGCCCCACTCATAGAGTCTGCCCCAAAACATCGGGGTTACTTTTTCATTTATTTTCAGATTCTTCTTACCACTTCAGTGCCAACGGTTTCAAAGAATAAGTTTTTCATGAAAGAAGTTTTCCAGATCAGTGATTTTCTCTAGTGATTATCAGCCCGCTTGTTGCATTAGATATGAAGTAACGAATGAGAAAACGAACGAAGGAACGAATCAATACAATCTTCTGAATCAATGGTTGTGACCTGTTGATAGAGAAAACGAGTTTTGTAAGGAGGTTGAAACCCTGAATAAGTAAATAAATGAATGAGTGGGTCAACACGTGAATGAATCAATTATAAAATGAACAAAGAAATGAATAAGATCTTTAGAGTTTTAATTCAATTTCAAAATTTTAATTCTCTTCGTATGCAAGACCAGTAAACTGCATGACTTTTTCTTAGATCAGTATATTTATGCGAAAGTTCTGTATTCTTCACGCGTTCTTTGTTTTCGCCAGACTCGACGAAGCATAGTTTAATTCGCTTACCGTTTGTTTGTTACTGAATTGCTTTAGTATTAAAAAAACGTCCATGGATTTAGTTATACAAGCATTCTTTCTGATACCTGTATTTATGTATTACTATCCGCACACTGACATGAACTTTGTTAATTTAGATTTCATTCCATAATTCTTCAGAGGTTAAAGCGGAGCTTGCTGGTGGCTTAGGCCACTTTTCCTTCAATTCAACTTCTGGTGTGATTGGCGTCATCAAGGCATTTGACTATGAAACGACCAAGCAGACGGCTTTCAACGTCTCGCTGTGTCCTCAGGTCAGAGACGCGAATACACGTAGGCCATCGTGTCGCGTCATGAATTTCACTGTGAAAGTGCTTGACCAAAACGACAATGCACCGGTGTTCGACGAGGAAGTTTATTACGCCAGTGTGCCCAGTGACATTGCCGCGCACAGCAAGATACTACAGGTTCATGCAAAGGACAAGGATTCAGGAGCGAACGGCGACATAAGCTATGCCCTGGCTAGCTCCAGTTCAAAGTTCTCGATGGACTACGCCACCGGCTATTTGCTCACCACTGCTCCTTTAACCTCTTCGCTGTACAACTTGACGGTGGTGGCGTTTGACCACGGTCGGCCATCGCACTCCTCAATGGTAAATGTTGTCGTTACGGTTGACAGTGAAAATCTGCACGCTCCCGAATTCTGGGAATTTTTATATTGGGCTGAGATCCCAGAGGACGCTCCGGTCGGCAGCTTCCTCATTCAGTTGAACGCAAGCGACCCTGATGAAGGGCCGGAAGGTATGTTGAGCTACCGACTTGTGGACCCCTCTTCTCCGCCCTTCGTGATTGACTCCACTAACGGCGTGGTGATCACCACTGCGCCCCTAGACTATGAGAAAGAACAGTTTTACCAGCTGATGGTGGAGGTGTCAGACCACGGCTCCTTCCGTCGTTCATCCCGCACGTTACTGGTTGTTTCCGTGGTGGACGTTAACGACAACGCGCCCGTGCTCCAACCGCTCCCTGATCGGATTTTTATCTCCCAGGCTGAAGAACCAGGCACAGTGATCTTCAACGTAACCGCTGATGACGCGGATAGCAGCCTGCATGGCAATAACAAATTGTCATACGCGGTTGATAACTATGACACCCCTGATATGTTCGACATCTCACCCGATACCCATCAGCTGAGGGTAAAGCGAAAGCTACGCAAGGGTCGCTTCCGCATTAACATTATCGCCCGAGATCATGGAAACCCGTCGCTAGATACCGGTCACTGGGTGACCGTTGAAGTGATCGCGAGCAATTCAATGTTTCCGGTATTCAAGCAACTTCAGTACCATGTCAATGTCGACAATTGTGATTCCGATCTTCCGCTGCGCCGCATGTTCAAAGCATTGGTTCCAAAGGGTGATGTCGTTTATGAAATGATACCGGAGCCCAGAGGACTTGAACTGAATGCCAGTTCTGTATGTCGATCATAAGCATTCGGTCGTTTATAATCATGAATGAAATCGCGCTATTTTAAGGGCGAACTATTGGTGCATCCTGAATTTTGCCGCTATGCCGAGACGTCTGAAACTCGACTGATAATTCGAGCCACAAATTCTTTGAGCAAGTCACACTATTCCGACCTAACGGTAACTTTATTTTTTCCACTCTGCACTTTAATTATCATTTTTCAACTAGATTCTTTCATGACCAATTTTTAAATACGGATGAACGAAAAATTTAATTGATTTGATTCTGAATTTGAATTCCATTTTGTGATTCCCTGATCTCCAAGCAGTGTGTCCCTAGCAATCTAAAGAAATTATTTGATATTTAAAATGGTACGGTGAGTATTTTAATAATTTAAAATTATGTACTTTTCTTCCGTGACAAAGTCTTAAGAAATCTGTAGTGTAAGGACTTTGATTTTCACCAAAGCAGGGGACGTAAAATCGGTGTTTATTAAATTCAATGCAATGGCTCTGATGGTATTTATATCAGCTAGACCTGTCCAGCTTTCAAGTCTAGATTAAGGGAACACAGAAGAGCTATTACGTGCCGTAACGCTGATCTTTCTGGTTCTATAGTTCATGCCCTGAGGAACGGTAATCACTTTAACAACAGCGATGTC